ATAAGGTTACTGAGATAATAATCTGGCCTCAACATTTTAAAAGCAGGCATTCTGTAGACAGCATTCTGCCTAATGACGGTGTTATCTCTCTAACAGGATCATCCTGGAGTTGCCTTGTAAGAAGAATATTTAAGCATGGTGATACTTTTAGCACATGCATAATCTAGTTACGTATTCTCTTCAGGGCTAGGCTTTTGTTATGTTGTCTTTATCTGACAGCTCTGAGAATACTTAAGCATTAGCAACCATAGTTTTGATACAGCTGAAAGCGTTGGAGATGATGTTGTATAGTGCTTGCATCTCTGATATTGTACAGAAGTTTCCTTGGGCACAGAATCAGAGCATCTTAGTGATAAAGGAGGAACGTGTTAATAATTTGGGTGGGAAATGCTTTCATAACATTTTTTAATGATTGCAGTGTTTAATAATTTGAAGGCACTTCAGCAGATATTTTTTCTAAGCACTGAAATGCTCATTGATGTTTGTAAGGCACTCTAAACATGGGAAGACCACTCTAAAGTAATTAAGAACATGGGTTTTTTTTAAACTAGGATTTTGGAGGTGATAAACTTTGTCTGGATGGGATTATGTCCCCAGAACCATCCTTTCTATCTCTTAGAGACACACAAATGCAGTTTCAAACTGAGCCCACATATCTTGGATGTTCAGCCAGAGGATTCTATATTGACTGTGCAGTGTAGCTGCAGCAGAAGCAATGTACAGCATTTGTATTTCATTGATCAGCCTGTGGAATAAGTGGATCGTAGTTGTAAGCAATGCACTTAAGATCCTATGAGCCAGTCTCTAGAATTCAGTATCTAAAGCATGGCTGTCAAGAGCAATATTCCCAAAATTAATGGAATGGTGCCATTTCACAGGCACTTGTTTTCCAGAATCGGTAAATAAGAAGCAGAGCCATTTCTCGGTGAACAGTCTGAGTTAACTAATGCACTTTAACCCAAGCGTTTATTTTAGTTTGACTTGATGTTTAGAGAGGAAGAAACCAGTTGGGAAGAAACCTGTCAGTTTGTCCAGCCCACCCATGACAGGTGAGGTGCGGAGGAGCTTCTCTGGTGATGACGAGTTGACTCCTCCTCCATATCGAGCCCTTCCAGCACAGACAGCCCCGGAGGCCTTCCAGCCTCCCAGGACTAGCCGAGAGTTCAGTCCCAGCCTCAAACCAGGTAACTAGCCACATCAGTCTGTTACTGCAGAGGGAAATGATGGACAGGGTGGGGAACTGAGCATGGTCTAGCATGTAATGTGCTGACTCATCAAATCTCCACTTTTTTCCCTTTTTTTTTTTTTTCTTTTTTTTTTCTTTTTTTTTACTTTTGGTTTATTTTATTTTTTTCTGTTAGAGAGCTTTTCATTCTCACTGATGCACCATGTCACTAAACTAATCACAGAAAAGGATTGCAGCTGTTTTAGAACTTCACAGCAGGCCATGGTGTAGGTTACTGAGGCATAAAGGCACAGAGCAGCTATGCAGGGTTTTAAAATACAAAAATGCACTCGAAAACTGAACGGTAATGTGGATTTGGGAATATTTGATGTAAGTAGGGAGTTAGTGTGAATTATCTTCTGTAGAGAAAGTAACTACACAGTAAATTTATTAGTGTGGGGGGTTTTTTTTGCCTTTGTCAGAAAAAGGCAGTTATCTGGGAAAACTTCTTCAGAATGTAAGCATTATTTGAAATTTTCTGGGTTACTAATATAGAAAATATATTTGAAAAGAGTTTGTCTTTTTAGAATTTTACCCTTTTCCCTATTTTTTGCTGTAAAACCAGTGTTTGGTTTAAGTATGGACAGTATAATTGTGCATCTGTAGGAGTGAGCAGAGAAAAACTCTTAAAAATTCATTTCTCAGTAATATTGAGCAAGTAGATGAAAATTTTTAGCTTATTTAAGGATAGTTTCTGTAATGTAATCAGTATTCAAGTATAGCAGTCCACTGCAAGAGTCTGGTAGGTTTTTTTTCCTCTTCCCTTTTCCTAGTGTGTTTGGCAATAAAATGTAGCAGGTAAACAAACTATTTTCTAACAAATACCTTGTAGCCATATGATCTGTCAGGCAGACTGGATCACACTCTCACTGCCAGACAGTTGCCAGGTTGATAGACTTAGCTTCGATCTTGCTAGATTTACACTCCTTTAAACTTGCTTTAGTCTGAGTGGGCTGCCACACTGGCACTTCTCAGTGCCTGTGGAATATGTCCAGAACAATTCCTCATGTCCATGTGTTATCCATTAACAGAATGGGACACAGAAACCTACTTCTTGCCTTTGGACCTCGAGGACAAATCTTGACTGTCCTCTGCACACCTCTCAACGCTTCTCAAGAACTCCTTTATTTTTACTTCAGCTTGCTACTCATGTGTACATGCCCGTCTTTTAACAGTCTGATATAGAAGGGAAGCCCTGCCTAGGAGAGAGTGTTTGGAGTGTTTGTTTCTGCACAGCTTTTCTTCTTCTCTTACTGCGAATCTACACCGAAATTGCATTTATGTAGTGCAGAGACATGCACAGTCTGAGTTTTCTGTATCATTAGGTCTCTTGAGTTCTTGCAAGACACCTGTGCTCTTTGGTTTCTGACACTGACGCTGTGATCATTTAGGGGAAATTTTTCAAAGTTCTGAATTTTAGAGAGGCTGGACAGACAAAATTAGTTTTATTTGCGATGTAGCCTTGCAGTTGTCCAAAATTTAAATTGAAACCAGCAAGATCACACCCTTTGAGTCTGGAGAAGGGCATAACCCTGATACAGTAAGTTAAGAACACATTTCAGATTAGCTGGAACTTGTTAATTGCATGCCTATTCCTCAGCATTGTACACTGCCTCACGTTTTAGCAGCTGTAGCTAGGATGTAGGCACATTGCAGATGTTTATATGACGCAGAATGGAAGTAGTGTAAGATTAGTAACATGACAGACATTTGCTCTGAAGCTTCTTGTCCACTGGAGATCCCAACAAGGCTCATTAAGCAACTCTTTCCCCTTTTGTACTGTCATAAGCACGGAAGTTTCAGTACTTTTGTCTTGTGTGATATGAAGTGGTTTTGCTCTCCAGCAAAGTCGTGGTGTTTCTTTAGTGTACACGAGTACTTCGCATCTTTGAGTCGTATGAAATGAGGGTTTAAACACTGAAGTGTTGGACACCTTCACTTTTAAAAAGAGCAGATAGCCAGCCTGTCAGAGGAGACCACCGTTCCGAGAGACTCGCCCTACTTCTGCAGGTATTCCTGACCACACTGTTCCGTTCTGTGTTGATGTTTTGGGGGTTTGAATGACCCTGCCTCAGGCACAGTCTTTCTTTGTCTCCAGGCAAATCACTGAGACTATTTAAAAAGGGAGTACCTTGTGCATCTGCATCCCTTTTACTTCCAAGATGATCAGTCAGATGACTTCCACTAGCTTTTCTTATTCTTCTTCCACGTAACTTTTGTTGTATAGCTGTAGCTATGCTTTTCTTACAGAGGGTTGCAGTTTAAAGCTGTATAATAGCGACAAATGAAGCAAGGTATCATTAAATACCTAAATATAAGGATTCTGGTTCAAATTAGCCAGAGGCGAGCCAAATTATGGAGGCTGCTATTACTCTTGTACCTGCAGAATCATTCTACAAATACTGGGGGGGAGACAAGAAGAAAGAATATGCCTCTTGGATTTCAGATTGTATCCCTGACCTCTGTGTAGCCTTTGCTTAAGGTATTAGCAACACATCCAAGTAACCAGTTCTGTGACTTACCATTTAGATAGCACTTCTACTGTCCTCTACAGGTCAAGATTCTTGAGCGGAGTTGGGCATAGTGCAAGGAAAAGTATTTAGGAAAAAAAGGAAGGCAGCAAGGGATTGTGGGTTGTGTAAGTGGGAAGGGGCATCTATTAAAAAAAGAAAGGAGGAGATCTTGCATTATGTTACAACTTCTTGACATTTTTTTAACATCTTGATTTTCAAATTTTTATTTAGCACAAGAGTTTGTTTCAACATGGAAGATGACAGAAAAATAATAAAAACCATAATCAGATGGCTTGTAAGTTATTGTAGGGATACTAGTAGCAACAGGTTATGGGGTTTCGGTTTTTTCTTTCACTGCATATTTCTGCATTTCAAGATACACTGATAATGCATATAGACTTTATATTCAGTAGCTATAAGCTTTAATACTCTTCTCACTCATTTGGTCATAGAGAACCATTTATTTTTGTATAGTCAACCCTTTAATATGGGTACTGCACCTTTAATGAAAGACTTGACATGTTTTGATTTCAGTGTTCTTTTCATTGTGCTCATATTTTGATAATTATCACTATTCATTAATGAAACTGGAAAAGTAATTGTGACATTGCTATTCATAACATCTTTTTTTTATGTCTTAGATCTCATTTCTATTTTCTTTTTACAAAAGAAAGAAGAGAGAAGATTGCAAAAAAGATATTTTGCTTGAATGTAACTTGTCTTCTGGGACCTTAAAATTTTAATGATGTATTAAGAAATTTGTGTCTATTTTTTTTCTCATCTCACATAGACCATTTAAAGTAATTGGGCTAAGTAATGTGAATTGTAGATTGTAAATGGCCAACAGTTAATCTTACTTTTACTTGCATAAAGACTAAATAGTAAGTCAACAGTAAAAAAAAAAAAGTAGGCAGTAAAACGTGTTGTTCTGAGCAACAGTCATTATTCCTATTTAACATGTTCAGTTACTTCCTTAAACTAGTGTTTTAAAATACTAAGTTATTGAGAAAACCCTGTAAGTAATTTGTTATTGTAAGTAATTTGTTCAAATATGTTAATATTAGAGCATAACTTAAGGTTCAGTTTATGGTCAGAAAGTATCTGCTTTCTGAGTGTTAAAAGAAGAATCGGTAAAATGAAGAATATAAGAAAATGGGAAACCCGGGGTATGTTCCCAATTTAAATAATATTAAGTGAATTTAAGGTAAAGTTGTACTTACTTTGAATTTTATGGATCTTTGATGTTCATCTTTTATTTGTAGTGACTTCATTGCAGCTGAAGGAGGAGTTGCTAGATGGAGAGGAGTACAGCTTCCTTCAAGGAGCATCTGATCAGGAAAGCAACGGATCTGCCAGTTACTACATCAAACAAGAACCATAAGGCAGCTCAGAAGTGAGGGACAGAGTGTTGGCGACAGGAAAAGAGCCTTTCTCCAAGACTGACTGATTTTGTTCCCACTTCGATGGTACAGTTCAGGTGACTGTGCCTGGGGCACTTTGCTAACTGTAAATGAGTTACTCAGTTCAGAATTTTTTGGAAGGGCGAGGAAACTATTTTAGTGAAACAGATTTTTCAATTTATTAAAAACGAAAATGGACACTTTTGTGTTGTATTTGAAGCTTTTGAAAGAATTTTGTAATATTTTCAAGTTCAGATTTATTGTGCATTGTTAACAAAAACTGAAATTCTAATTTTTTGGTAAGATTAAAGTTTAATTAGCATGATTGTGGGAAGCGGTTGGAGGAAGATATAGTTGCAAATACAAATGAACTGTCATAACAAATGAACCTTTTTGGTACAAGTTGGGAGACTTTGAGACTCTTGTGAACTGCACTGGTCACGCCTCTGTTTTTTTTTATTGTGGAAATAAGGCATTTAAGACCTAATTTTGAGGCATAAAGTGTATGTGGAAGATAGTCCTGTAAAGCTCTACTCAGTGAGTAGCCCCAATTGCAATGGAGCCATCGCCTGACGAAGATTTTAACTTTTCAAGATGTTTTTATTCAGTTTAAAGTACACTTTTTTTATGTAAGATTTTTTTTTTTTAAAAAAAGTTCCTTAGGGTCTGATTCACTGCCCATTAATATCAGTAGCCTTGTCTCCATTGACTGCAGTGGGCATTGGATTGGGACTATAAAGTTCTTGTCTGTATGTGAATGTCTGTAGTCTTGGAATGCTTCAGCACATGTTTACAGAGCCCTATGCCAAACTGGAACTTCAGAAAATTCCCTCATTTGGAAGACTAGTGTTAGCTATGGATTTAGACTACAGAAGAAACTAGACAGTCAGTAACTCAGGCCTCCCTTGGTAGTAGGAAGGAACTTCTGAGTACTATTCTGATTTTTTTTTTTCTATCCAGAAAGACGTAGATGTTTCCTTACCATCGAAAATATTTATTTGTGAACATTCAAAACCGATGTTCCACGTGGTTTCAGGTGAGCTAAAAGGAGCCATACGTTGTGGATTTTAAGAAACAGTTCAGTTCTGCAGAGCCTGCAATATTCTTCTCTTGCTGCAATAGTGTAATGTGGAAATTAAGATTTGAGAACAGTATATAAATCATATACTGTCTAGTATATAATTCATAAACTGGATTTGCTTATTACCTGGAATCCTTGTGTCTCACTTCAAGTATCCCATTAGCCCCACATGCTTAACTGTCCAGATTTTTTAAAGGCAAAAGTCATGTAAAAGGGTGAAAATGACTACCAGTAAAATACAAAATATTCTAGCTTGAGCTCTTAATAATTGGGATTTTATCTTTCCATATTTTTGAACATTGTACACTTGTAAATGATCTCATTCATGGAGTTGATTAGTAAAATGGTTAGGCAGCCCTGCAGAGCTGTGACTGGAAAAATGTGCATCAAGAGCTTTTTAGCTTTTACCAGTAAGGTTCATTAACTAAACTCTCAGGAATTAACTGCATATGTTCTATAAGTGCTTCTGGGTCTTAGCAGGTCCCCTTCAGAGCAGTACAATGATCATCCGACTCATGACCATAAATTAGGGCTTAAAAAAAAATAATCAAAATTATTAATGCCTGTGTTCCTACATCTTAAGAAATGCTTTAAGAATATCAACCCACAGAGCCCCAGGAGACCATTTTTGTATATTGTTGTTTGAGTTTTAAAAAAAGTGCATAGAAAGTTGAAAACCAGCAATTTGATTATTTTCTAAAATATTGCTCTAACTTTGGGTACATAGTATTAGTAATATGCACAGGTTTACCTCATTCTATGCAAGAGGGGTTAAATATGTAAAGTTTTGTATTTACTACTGGAAGTAAAAAATGTCCTGTATAGCTGTAGGAATGTCTGGAATTCTTTTCTCCCTTACTGGTAAAATTTCTTAAAGACAGACCCCTTTTAAACAACATCATCTTAGATTGACAAAATCTGGTTACAGATTATAAGTATCTGTAACCTCAGGTGGTAAAGACATTTTAGATCTCTAAAATAGCCATAAAAAGGACTTTGTCAGGCTTGGTAGACTTCAAATACATTCTCTCAGATTCTGACCCACCTTGATGTTTCTTTTGAACAGCCTGGATTGGAGAAGTAGGGTTAGAGATAATTGTAATGACACTTTGAGCCTTCATTATTTTTTTTCCTGTGTTCCCAATTTAATCTGCTGTAAAATCCAGCTCTGCAAGCATTGATTTGGTTTGGCAAGTACAACTCTATTGATTTTTTTTTTTTTTTTTTTTTTTTTTTTTAAATGCAGCAACTTGCAGATTGTCCCAGTCAGCTGGAACAAGGTTGGCACAATCTTGCTTTCTTCTCTCATCAGTAGTTTCTGACTTCAGTAGAAAAAACTGTTGTGTTCATTGGTGTTTCATAATGTGAAAGCTTGGGCTAGGAATGAGCAAGGTATATTGCTGAGTCACTAAAACTTGGGCTTCTGTGTATTGCCCAGGCTCATACCTGATTTCTGAGTTCTAGTCTTCGATTGTCAAGAGGGGAAGTTGGCACTTAAGCTGAATCCACTTCCTGTGTTGGAGAAATGTAAGAATCGGATTTGAAGTCTGTCAGTCTCTATAATGTTCTTTCAAAACAGGTATTTTATTAAACACTAAAGTATGTGAGTTGACATTGCATTCACATATGACTTCAGTAGGAGTTGGGTGAAATTTCTGTCTTTCTGAATTCGAAATATACCTGAATTGTGTGATTGTCAAGTACAGTGAAATCTGACCTAAGCAAACCACGTAAGGAACTAATTGAAGTCACTTGCTTAGGAGGTTTAAGGAAAACCTGAGCAAAACTCCACCAGCTATTGAGCGTGGTCTCTTCAATGTGTGGGCTACCTGCTGGCTGTGGTACCCATAGTATAGACTTCACTGTATTTGTAAATTGTAAAAAAAAAAAAAAAAAAAAAAAAAAAAAAAAAACCACCCAAACATTAATAACATGGCTCTAGATATTTTTATCTTTGCTTTACTCTAAGCCGTGTTATTTGGCTAAAAGAGCAGCAAAGTTTTGGACATTTGAAATCCTCAATGGGGTCAAACTAATTTCAGTATTTGGCATGGCAGGTTTTTATAACCATAAGGTAGCACAAGTTATATACCTTACTTTGTAGCTACCCTTCTTTTAGTGCTCAAAATCTTTCTGCTGATCTTTGATATTTATGTTATTTTAGATACAACTCTTTAACCTTTTCCTTGCTGCATCTGAGGAAAGCTAAAGCAGTTATCAATTCCTTGTTCTACGGATACTAACACGGGTTTCAGTGTTTGTTTGTTTTTTTAATTGTTTTATGTGATGTGAATACCCTCTCCTGTCAATATTTGTACGATGGTGCTAATATATTTGGTAACAATCCTTTATTGGGAAGGGATTTTAAAAAACTGTGATTTAAACTGAGTTTTTCTTCCTTTTAATTTTCATATTTAAAACAGAAAGCCACAGCCATTTATACAAAAAAAGGCATCAGCTTTGGCCCCTGGGAAAACGTTGGGGCAGGAATCAAGATTAAACAAATAGGGTTTTTACATCATTTCTGTATGTATTTGATATATAGATCAATATCTGTACAAATTTAATCTTTTATTTTCTTGGTAATTTGTGTGGTCAATGAGAGAGTATTTAAAGCTTTCTCATGCAATGTACATAACTAAGTGAAAAAAAATGCTTTTGGAGAAATTAATGTTACTTTCATTTTTATGAGACTGCAGATTTTCAGCATGGATGTGAAAAGCATTAAAATTATAACTTTGTGTACAAGATGAAAATAATTCACTAAATTTGCCTTTTTTACACAAAATAAAAATGATAAAAAGTCTTTTTCTGATAGTGATTTCTTTCTTTAAACAGCCCTTCTTGACACATGCATAAATGCAGTCCAGCTTGTTTCTCTTCCAAGAAAATGTGGATAAAAAAAAAAAAAACACCTGCTGTACTTTCTGTAACCAATGTTTTAAGTAAGTGGGTATTGTTAGTTGGTCTGAGCACAAAATAAGGTTTTTAATGTGAAAAAGGGCCATTAGCTAAGCATTTAACAGAGAGCAAGCCTTACACTTGTCTCCTAGATCACAGTTAGTGTTGATAGTTGGGTAGGGAGAGAAATCTTGTCCCAGGGTAGTATCACATTTTTCTTCCAGCTCCGTTCTGCTGTGGTGGGAGGAGCTCAAGCATCCCTTCTGCCCTCCCTCTGCAAGCTGGCTTTGCAACTGGTACTGTATTTCAGTAGCCTTCAGCCCACCCTCACACTCAAGAAATGTCACTGAATTTTAATTCTGCTATGCCTGGACAGGAGGTTCAGGCTAGCTACTACTTCTGCAAGAGGAAAATATTGAATGGCTGAGTAAAAGGACTTCAGTGACTATATGAACACAATTGTTTCTTTTTAGAGTGAATGCACCACAACACCTTAATTCATACCCATTTATTTGACAGTGCTGAAAATGACTAAGATAACCGTGGTGTTAATTGCTCCCAGGTCAGTAGCTGGAATGAGATGACACGTTCAGAAGGCACAATTCGCTGTGGAACCTCCTCTCACTCATAGATCCAATCATGTGCACAAGATTTGAAGTCAATGAGCTCTGCAGGTTTGAACCACAGGTTGATCTCCTTCTGCGCACTTTCCACAGAGTCACTGCCATGAATGATGTTTCTGTAGAGGGAGACAAACACAGTGTTGCATATAAAAATCCACTTTCAGCAACCTAGTAGTTCTCCATACGCAAAAACTTGGATGAAGCATCTAGAGCTGCGAGACCAGTGTCAGGTACAGTGTTCAGACCCCACCCCGGAGCTACTTAAGCCAAGCAGGGTGACTACGGCTACTTCACTATAACTGCCACTGACTGATCTTACATGAAGCTCTGATGAGGAGCTGTATTTCAAAAAAAGTCAGTTTTGTACCAAGCCATTTCCTTAAGTAGCAGTTACGGATTGTGACCTGCAAATAAAACATCATCAGACTAGGGTATCTACCAACAATTTTTATTTTACGGAATTAAAAGACTATCACCATCAATTTTTTCATCTTGAAAAGTAACAAAGTGAGCACAAACCTTCCTACTTGAATGCAGAAGTCACCACGGATGGTACCAGGCTTAGAGTCAGCAGGGTTTGTTTCACCTAGCATTACTCTCCCAGTTTTAACCACATTGAGTCCTTCCCATACCTTAAGGAAGAGAAGACAAACAAATCCTATGAATACCAAAGATTAACCTTTGCTAATAACATAAAGAAACCAGGGCTCCACCACAAAAAAAAAAATAATCTAGTCTGGATTTTCACTTAGGTCTGTAAAGAACATTAGGGGAAAACCATACGAACTGAAAGTGATTCTAAAAGGGACTATCAACACCATCACACCAGTAACAGAGCTGCTTTAGCGAGCCTCAGAGGTAGCTCACGTGCAAGGCCAACTGCAGAGTCTTTCTGTTGTGACAGGGTAAGGAGAAGCCTGCAACCTGTCGCTGCAGGAGCTCAGGTTAGGTACCTCATCAAACCAGGAGGAGGTGGTACGGGACAGTTAGAGTGTTTGGGAGGGAGTGCAAAAAAGAACATGGAAGATGGGTTCCTATGCAACAGCTTTGACCCTTTTTTGCCCAAAACAAAAGATGACGAAAGATTATTTGGTGCAGAAGTACAGAAGATTGGCTTTCAGGAATTTTGCTTAATCCATGCTAAGCATTTTAATATGCATTTTATACATACACACTTCGCTTCTTGTTAACTAACAGTAACTTCTTACTTGATTGTCTCCATTTTAATTTTAGTTTTCTTTTGCAGCTATCAGAACTGGGTAGTTTGAAAAAGTGTTTCTGTAACTGTATATCTGAACATTTTAAAATAGTTTACAGGCAGAGACAAATACATTCAAGCCTTTAAGTAAAATTAAGGCACTTACCATGGCCACAATAGGTCCAGAGTTCATGTATTTAACCAAACCAGGGTAGAATGGTCGGTCTTTGAGGTCAATGTAATGTTGTTTGAGAAGGTCTTCAGAGGCCTTTAAAAGGGCAGACATAATTTTAAGTGTCGCTTTCAAACCATCATACCATAAAAGGTGTTACTATTGTAAGACTACACCATTAGTGACTGGATTTACCAATCATTATTGACCGTTGCTGCAGTGCTATTAGGGGTTTCAACTGAAGTTCCTAATGTAAAATTAAAGGAGTACATGACACACCGTATTTCTTTGTACCAGTGTCAACGGAATGAGCAGTCAAGATTATTTCTTCACCTTACAGCAATCTCCAGCAATAAGCTGAGTACAAGATGTCCGGATGATGCTACCCCATACAACGTTTCAGTCAAGGTCATTTCAGCCTCTCAATTACGTTGCATGAAGCCATCCGAACAAATTTTGTTCCCTTAGGAAATGGGAGAGAGGAAATGGTTGCACTTGACAGAAAGCGTGGCCTGACGCGTGGTCCCGTACCGCCAGCTGTCAGGCCAATTCGGCATCAGATTCCCCTCCTGATGCAGGGACAGCCGCAGAGGAAGGCACGTATATAGCTCTCTCTAAGTACCTACTCTCGCAGCGTGGGGGGAAGCGCTTAGGCCAGAGCCGGCGCCGGGGGTTGGTTCCGCGGGCGCGGAGACTTACGTGGACGAACTTCATGGCCACCAGCCGGAAGCCCTTCTGCTCGAACCGCTTGATGATCTCCCCCACCAGCCCGCGCTGGACCCCATCGGGTTTGATGGCGATGAAGGTGCGCTCGCAGTTGGCGGCCATGGCGCTGCGGGGAGCGCGGGGCTCAGGCTCGGCCCCGCCGCCGCCCCAAGGCCGGAGGGAGCCGGGCCCGCCCCGCCATGGCGGCGCTGGGCCTCCCCCCGCGCTGCCGCCCGCCGCCCCCGAGGCCAGGCCCGCCCGCCGCCCGCACCCCCGCGGCCTCCCCTCACGGAGCGGGGTGGGGGGGGACACACGGACACGGGGACACACGGACACGCGGACAGACGACCCGGCCTTCGCCTCGCCTCACCTCAGCTCCCGCTGCCGCTGCCTCGCGCCCCGCCGCCGCCGGAGAAAGAGGAGGAGGAGAGGGCGGGCGGCCGCCGGATCCCCCGCCCTGCGGAGAGGAGGAGCCGCCCGGCCTGCGGCGCTCGGGGGCGGCTCTGCCGGGGCTGGGGCCTCGCTCCGCCGCCCGCCCGGGCGCTGCCCCCCCCCCCGGGCGCTGCCCCCCCCCCGGTCCCTCCCCCGGCCGCTCTCCGGGCTGGGGGCAGCTGCGGGCCGGGCCGGGCCCTTGGCGCCTGCTCGGAGCCGCCTCGGACGGTTTTGGTTGCAGCAACGGGGGTGTAAGCATTTTCCGCAGCGGAAAGATGAAGGATATTTAACTGCGCTAAACAATTTTATTTTATTTTTAACCAAAAGGTACTCGCTCTGCTGTTTTCAGAGATATTCCTGCGATCTGCTAACTCATGGTTGCTACTGCCCGCCTCGCTTAGCAGAAGCAGCACGCCTTAGAGCTGCTTGCAATTATGTTTCTCACAGAAAAGTGATGTAGGGTCTGTAAGCCAGGGACGTTTTCAGTGATTCCGCTGGGATCTGGGGAGAGGAAGCTGCAGTCAAAATTCAGGTGTGAAACTTGACAGTCCCTGCACCCGTGTCATAACAAGAATTAGGAAGTGGTGTTACTTTTTATGACGTTTACTACTTACCACTTTACTAATTTACAAAACACTTCTTCACTCATTGAGCTAGTTACAATTGCATACCATCACTGCAATTATAATATTAGTGAAATATGAAATACCCTTTGCAGTACTTACAGAGTCTCTTACTGACGGGCCCCTTGGCATTAGCGACAGTGGCCGTGCTGGCTCAGGCTCCTCAGCTGTGCAGGAGAATTGCACATCCCTGAGAGATGGCTGACCTCCGACCACCTCAGCCTCCATGCATCAGCAATACTAGTCAGTAGCTTTCTGACCACCCCCA